TTCTAAAAATGTAAATACTTAATTGAGTTTAAATTCAATTTTCTTTAATTTTAGGGAAAAAAACCTGCAACTAAAAATGGTTTATCACAACAGCATGTGACCAGCATAATAGCTCTACTTTGGCTCCACTTTAGTGTTATACAATGAAACTATGATTATTCACTTAACACATTGACACAAATATGACCCCAAAATGGTCGTTGGTGGTTTGAGACCATTGAAAATTTTAGATGGTAAAATGCTGAGAGGTTAAAGAAAACAAGTCCACTTATTTTGGAGTCTCTTGGCTTTTTGGAGATGTATTATCAGAGAAATTGATGTAGGTTCAATTTCATCTCTATTACAAGCTCCATTCCCCCCAGTTTGGAGTGCAACAGGGCTCCAGTGTTCATCATATCAGAGAGCAATATATAGATAAGTGGACCCTCTCTGAAAATCAATAGATATGTGGGAAAGTGACAGCAAGAAAAAGAGATTAAAAGAGAGTGTGCTAAGTGTGTGGGTTGTTCTTCCCTCCAAACAAAAGGCTAGCTAACAGATAGATGACCTTAGTCAAGAGGTCAGATGTTGCTCATTTTTCTCCACCTGTACTTCTGCTGCAGAACATTATATGGTAGTGCTACTTCTATTGTGTTCTTCCTGTAATTGATTCTGCCTATTTTCATTTGTATGTGGCATTGGATACAAGTGTCTAAATAAATAAATGGAATTGTACATTTAAAAGATGAGGGAATGCTACACTTTGCATTAAAAAAAATCTAAAAATATACAAGACATTCTTCACTGTGAAGCCCCGTGTGGGTCCCCCCACTCCATCCTCCCTGTCCCTCCTTCCCCTGCCACCACCCCAACTGCTCCACTGGTCATCACGGAGCATGAGGTTTGGAGGCTCCTTAAAGGTCAGAACATCAGGAAAGCGTGTGGACCAGACATGGTGTCACCTGCTTCCCTCAAGCACTGTGCCAGCGAGCTGTCCCCAGTGTTGACAGACATTTTTAATCAATCATTAGAACTATGTCGAGTACCATCATGCTTTAAATCTGCCGTCATCATTCCGGTGCCGAAAAAGCCCAAGATCACCTGCTTGAATGACTACAGACCGGTCGCCTCACCTCTGTAGTCATGAAAACATTTGAACGCTTGGTCCTCTCTTATCTCAAAGCATCTACCGACCACCTCATGGACCCCCTTCAGTTTGCATATAGACCCAACCGCTCAGTTGACGATGCAATCAACATTGCACTTCACTTCATTCTACAACACCTGGACAATCGGAACACCTACGCAAGACTCCTGTTTGTGGATTACAGCTCTGCCTTTAATACCACCATCCCCGTCCTCCTCCACAGCAAACTGACCCAGCTGACCATCCACCCCCTCCTTTGCTCATGGATTACAGACTTCCTCACCAACAGGACTCAGTATGTCAGGCTGGGCCCACATCTTTCACAGCCCCGCACAGTCAACACCGGTGCCCCCCAGGGGTGTGTGCTGTCCCCCTTGCTATTCTCACTGTACACCAATGACTGCACCACTGGAGACCCTTCTGTCAAAACCATCAAATATGCGGACGACACCACCATAATAGGCCTCATCTCCAACAACGACGAGTCAGCCTACCGCAGAGAGGTCAGTCTCCTGGAGTCCTGGTGTGCAGTCAGTAACCTGGAGCTTAACATCAATAAAACAGTGGAGATGATAGTGGACTTCCGCAAAAAGCCCCCGACTCATCCACCTCTGGTCATTAACAACTCATCTGTGACTGTGGTTGAGCACTTTAAGTTCCTGAGCACAACCATCACCAACACACGTAAATGGGACAATAACATTTCCCAACTAGTGTAGAAAGGCCAGCAGCGCCTGTTCTTCCTCCGCCGCCTGAAAGGCTTACTGCTCAGTCCACCCATCATGGTACAGTTCTACAGAGCGGTCATTGAGAGTGTGTTAACATCCTCCATCACGGTCTGGTTTGCCTCTGCGTCAGCCCGTGCAAAGGCCAGGCAACAAAGAGTCGTCCGGGCGGCAGAGCGGATCATCGGCTGCCCCCTGCCAGCCATCATGGACCTGCACAGTTCCAGGTCCATCAACAGAGCTGTAAAGATTGCGGCCGCCCCCTCTCATCCTGCCAATAGTTTGTTTAGTCTTCTCCCCTCTGGAAAGCGGTACAGGGCCATTCTGCCTAAAACATCACGCCACCGACACAGTTTTTTCCCCCAAGCAATAGCCCTCCTAAATGACTCTTAACCTTGAATACATTGCACTCTGTTTTTATTAACACAACACTATTTATACTCTTATTGCAACATGGCATCATGACTTTGCGTAAACATACACGCCACTTTAAAGTCAAGTGGCGTGTTATCTATACGCATTGTGAGCTATCCGCGTGTATGTCCACGCCGAAACGAACCGTCATCTTTTGCGTCTATGTCTACGCTGTTAAATGTCCGAGTGATTCCGCGTGTATGTACACGCCGTTAAATGTCCGAGCGAAACGAAGCAAAATGTAGATCTACATCTGGGGAGCGATATTTTTTTTCCCTAGGATGGTAGGGGAACACTCATAAATGATTATGCGTGTTGATAGCACGCCAAAAATGGAAATACGAATTGGCGTGTCATAGCCTACAAACCCCATTTCATGAGATCAGTCTGCTTATTAACTTATTGCTCATAATGTCTCTGTTTGTCCTTGCACTGTGGTTTTGTCCATATATTATTATTTTTTGGCCTGCATGGAGAAGACCAAATCAAATTCCTAGTATTTTTTATACATGGCGAATAAAGTTGAATTTAATTGAATTGTGAGTTTGTGGTTCCTGAAGTAATAGTCTGTACCAGTGTATTTATAATATACTTTCTATGAAAATAGAACAAGCAAAGAACTTTCAATTAAAATGCTAATGTGTTCAAACTCATCTCATGACCATTTGTTTCCTTCATAGACCTTTACCTGAAAAAAGACATGCACTGATCAATTACACCAATACAGCAGCTACAGCCTTCTGAAGTGAAGCGATGCGTTCGTGTAAGAAAAATATCCATATTTAAAACTTGAAGACTAAAATAACTAGCTTCCGGCAGACGGCCGTACACAAGTCGACCTACGCTAAGAGTAACACTTGATGATGTATGATGTGGGAGTAGCGTACTCTTGCGGTTCAAACAAGCAGGGCAGGGCAACCGCGTCTTTTGGCATAAATCGATGCGTACGGCCGTCTGCTGGAAGCTAGTTATTTTAGTCGATAAAGCTTTAAATATGGATATTTTTCTTACACGAACGCATCGCTTCACTTCAGAGGGCCTTTATTGACCCAAGCACTTTTATCATTGATGGATGCGCTTTGATGGACTTCCACAAAAATATACCCATTGACTCCCATTATAAATCTTGGAAGAACCAGGAATTTTTTTTAATATAACTCCGATTGTATTCGTCTGAAAGATGAATGTCATATACACCTAGGATGGCTTCAGCATGAGTAAATCATGGACTAATTTTCATTTTTGGTCGAACTGAATTTCAATTTCAACTGAATCTTGTGGAGCACACAATAAACAGATCAGATGCAATACCAACAAGTTATCTTAACATATAACATATTTACATATAGAGCTGAGTTTTTTTTAAATGTTCTTGTAGATTTTTTAAATTCAAATGCTTTTACTGTCATTCATTGCCTGCATGTTTCGGAATGTTTTTTCTCTCTTCAAATGCTGTATTTATTTTTTTCTTTTTTTGCAATTTAGTGCAAATGAGGCTAGGCCAGCTTCTCATTCTTTGTTTTATTATGGGATGTTTACATGTCTATATCTTACAGTTTGGTTATAAATATGTATATCCAACATAACATCAATAACAATAAAAAAATGTAGATGATAAAAATGGAGTGAGAACGAAAGGTATTAGGTACTTTCTGTTCTAATTCATTACATTGTCCTTCAATGTATTTGTTTTGACTCAAAACAGCATGTGGGTTAAAACCTTATAATCCCAGCATATACATTGTCTGATAGTTATATGGATATACATATAATTTGCTGACATAATATTGTTTTTATTTTCCCATGACTTGTGAGACTGTGGCGGAAAGGATTCTGTCCTTCTAAACTATCCCGCTCTTACATAATTTATACATGATTTATTCACTTAAATAGCATGTTTTGAAATCTGTTTATATCTTTTTGATACCAAACATTGTCTTATCTGTTTAATAATGTTTTGATACCTGAGATTTTTTATTATTATTGTGGATTCATCGTAGATGTGTTTTATATAGTAATCTCTTTGTGAAACCAATGCTGTAGGGCAGGTCCGGATATGCCACTGAAATATTATTTGATAACACCTGAAGCAAAATAGGCTAAGTACATGTTATTTTCTGCCCACAAAGCAGGATGTGTCTCTTGTTTTCCTCTTCACCAGCTCAAACCAACTGTGCTCCATTATTAAAACAATGAAACAAGATTTCATAACTATAATACAAAGTTCAATATAACATATCATAAAAAAGGCATCTTTCCTATTTAGAGCTAGTATGCAATACAACTTGTCACTTTTTGTGAAAATTAGCATACAGTTTGGATTGGTGGTATGGTTCTGTACTGGGCAAGAACTCCATGCAGCCTAGCATGGATAAGAGCATGAAGTGCAGCGATAACACTCTTAGAGTAAACAGAACATAATCAACATGTATTGCAGATATCATTAATGTTCTTAATGACAATAATTGAATGTGACAACACAATATAACTATCTGATTTGAAGAGGAATATCAGGACTGTGGAGGATGGGGGATGTAGGAATGTAATTACCTCCTGAGCAACAGGATAAAGCTGCTGATAATACTAAATTGACCTTACATGCTGTGATAGGTGTCGCATTCCAATAGGTAGACGTGGATCAGTTGAGAGTCAGCATGACTGGTGTATTTATATCTGACCAGGAGTAACGTTTCACTTATGAAATCTGAAATGTGGAAACTTGTTCAACGACCTCATTTTGAACGCACTCCCACATTTGGCTGTACTGTAACACTGAATGATAGTGACTTTGAACATTGAACATATTGACATTAGCAGTTAATGGGTCAGCCGCCAATGAAGATTTTTTGTGGTGAATCACTGGGGTGAACCCTGAGGGTCTTCTAAGGAGATGAGATAATCGGGGGTTTTCTCTGTATCCAGCCATTTGTGCACATCGCAGGTTACAGAGCAGTGGGCAATATCCAGACCACAGTCGTCCCTCTGTAGCTTCTCACTCTCTTCTGAAGCAAAACTGTCTCCTAGTTTTAAAAAAAAACAACATATAAGAACTCAGAGAAAGCAGGTGGGTCAATGACATGAAAACTTTTTTTATCTGAATCTATTAATTTATTCAAAATTACATTCAAAATGCAATTGTCCCTTTCAAAAAAAAAAAAAAAAAAAAAATCATACATAGGCCTACAATGACTTAAAGCTGCAGTCCGTAGCTTTTTTTGGGTTAAAAATGATCCAAAATACATATTTGAGAAAATACATAACCAGCCAGTGTTCAAAACTATCTGCTTGCCTTAGCTCGATTCAAAGCGGTATGCTTGTAAAAATGTTTTTAATTCCAGTGGTACTGGTGGATTTCCGTGGGAGATTCGAGCTTGTCTTTGCGTCATTACGTCACATCTGTACACATAAAGAAGGAGTCTCGGCTAGTAGGCTATATTGCGTGTGAGGATGTTGGAGGTGGAGATTTATAGCCTTTTCTCACAGCACTTGATATAATTAAACTTATCAATTTGATGGCGGATCCAGAAATGTTCAAACGACAATCACCAGTGACAACTGGAGACTCACCCGCTGTAAAATGCAAAAGACTTCGTTTGGACTTCGGAGTGGCTACAGAAGAAGAGACTGCAACCGCCCATGCGAAAACAAGGATACATATCAAAAGGACATTACATGTAGTCACGCAATGCTGACGTTGTTAACATTAACAATTTGAGAACAAAGTATAATTTGCACGGTTTTGCGTGATATGATAACTTATAATGTCTGCAATGTCAGAACCAGAACAAAAGTGGATGTTTCTTACTAGCTCAGATGACATTTTCCGGTGAAAATTATTATTTTGGTCATTCTTCAAAAAAGAATAATCTGTGATTCTGAATGCCATTATCCACACGGGCGCGGTGACTGACAGCTGCACTCTCTCCTCAAACATTGTGTTCATCCGCGCTGTGCCATGTCGAGGGTGTTGAAGTACAACACACAAAGTTGATAATTCCGCGAATGACTGCAATTGCAGATTTCGAACAGAGATGGCGACAAAGAGGGAAAATGCCGGACTGCAGCTTTAGGCTACGTTTACACATAGCCGGGTATTTAGAGAAACGAATATTTCCCCCCTCTCCGTTTTCAAAAATAACATCGTGCACACACCCGCATAAATACGCCGTCGAGCGCCATCATAATTATGCCAAACCTATGGGCGGCAGTGTAGGGAGAAGGATAAAGCCATGCAAGCCAATCAAAATCCTCAGAATCGACAAGAGAGAACCTAAAACCCCGTTTCTCCCAGTTTACACGACAACACATAACTACTCGGTTACTATCGTAACCTCAGTTCCCTGAGAGAGGGAACGAGTATTGCGTAGCTATACGCAGTGGGGAAACTCCTTTTCCTCGATTTACTGAAGCCTATATGTAAAACGCATTTGCAGCTGCACAGCTAGCACACTGAGCGTCTGACACGCTCATAGGCTGTGCTGCAGCAACTGCACATCCAATGGCGCGGGCGAATCTGACGCACGACCAATGAGCTAGCCCAACGTCAGAGCCCGTCGAGGGGGCGTGGCCCAGCCTATATAGACCCCCGAATTCGCCATTATAGCAGGTTTATACGACTGAAGCGACCACTTCACCAGTTACCATAGTGCGGCCGGCTACGCAATACTCGTTCCCTCTCTCAGGGAACTGAGGTTACGATAGTAACCGAGTAGTTCCCTTTCGAACGGTCACTTCGTATTGCGTAGCTATACGCAGAGGGGACGCCATGCAAAACGCCGCACCCTGAGTAACTGGTTGCACTGCAACTCAGGACCCCTGAGCTAACAGAACAAGCCAGAACCCAATAACATATGCATATACATGTATATATAACAGACCAGACACAGTCGGGTCTGAATAATATATATATAAAGTCAGTAACAACTAACAGAATATACTAACCAAACCAGACACCGTCGGGATTATTAGTATAACTTTATTACCGGCCGAAGCGGGTTTATATAAATATGTATGTGATTATGCACAGTAATTTTTGTAGACAAGACCAGCCACTGACAGGTCTCAATCATACCGAAAGCACCTTCGCCTGCAGGGAAGGTACCTCCATATTATAGAACTTCATAAATGTGGAAGGCGAGGACCAGCCGGCCGCATCACAAATATCTTGAATGGGAAAACCAGATGACCAACCCCACGACGAGGCCATACCTCTGGTTGAATGGGCCTTGACACCTATGGGGCAAACCTGACCCATTGCAGTGTAGGCCAAAGTGATGGCATCCACTATCCATCTAGACAGTCTTTGCTTAGTGACTGGATCACCCTTAGATCGGCCCCCAAAGCAGACAAACAGCTGTTCTGATTGTCTAAAATACGCAGAACGCTCCAGATAGATTCTCAACGCCCTGACAGGGCAGAGAAGATTAACCTCCCCATCCTCGGCAGAAGGGGGAAGGGCTAATAGCGTAATAACTTGTGCTCTAAACGGCGTTGAGAGCACCTTGGGTACAAAACCATGCCTGGGTTTGAGAATGACTCTGGAGTCATCCGATCCAAACTCCAAACATGCAGGACTCACAGAGAGGGCCTGCAGGTCTCCCACTCGCTTGATAGATGCCAATGCCAACAGGAGAGCAGTCTTTAGCGAAAGTGGTTTTAGATCAACCGACTGGAGCGGCTCAAAAGGTGGTCCCCTCAGGGCCCTAAGGACCGTGGAGAGGTCCCAAGGCGGCACCGAAGGGGGCCTGGAGGGGTTAATCTTCCTAGCACCCTTCAGAAACTTTACCACCAGGTCATTCCTTCCTAGTGATTGGCCAGCCACCAGAGCATGATGCGCTGCGATGGCTGCCACATACACTTTGAGCGTGGACGGGGTGCGGCCCGCGTCCAGTAGCTCCTGCAGGAAGGAGAGCACCACCGAAACCTCACATGACTCTGGGTCAATACGATTTCTCGAGCACCAGCTGGAAAAACCCGACCACTTTAAAGCATAAAGGCGCCGAGTAGACGGGGCCCTTGCTTCAGAGATAGTGCTTAAGACCCTGTCAGGAAGGTCCCCGGATACCCGTTTAGGGGCCACACATGGAGGGCCCATAAATCGGGTCGGGGATGCCACATCGTTCCGTTGGCCTGTGTGAGGAGATCCTTCCTCAACGGAACAGGCCAGGGGGTCGTGTCTGACAACTGAACCAGTTCCGGAAACCAAGGTCTGGATTTCCAGAGAGGAGCCACCAGAAGGACTGGGCATCCGCTCTCCCTGACCCGCTCGATAACCTGTGGGATCATCGAGACGGGGGGAAACGCGTAAAGGGGGCGGCTGGTCCAGAGATGAGCCAGCGCATCCCTGTTTTTCGAGAAAAACACCCTGCAGTGGGTGTTGGCTCTCGAGGCGAAAAGGTCGACTTCGGCCTCGCCGAACCTCTCCCATATTAGTCTGACCGTCTGAGGGTTCAGGGACCACTCGCCTAGGGGAGTGTTGCCCCTTGAGAGCATATCCGCGCCCACATTCTGGACGCCCGGGACATGTGCTGCTCTCAGAGAGCTCAGATTGGCTTGTGCCCACATGAGGAGGTCCCTCGCCATAGCGTACAGGTTGCCTGACCTGATGCCACCCTGGCGATTTATGTAGGCCACCACAGACACGTTGTCTGTACGGACCAAGACGTGGTGACCCCTGAGGTTTGACAGAAAAGCTTTCAGGGCCAAACCAACTGCTTTCATTTCCAGACAGTTGATATGTAAGCTCTGCTCCGTGCTCGACCAGAGGCCGGAGGCAGGCTTGCCCTCGTGCAGCGCTCCCCAACCCATGTTGGATGCATCTGTAAAAACCACTTTCCTCCTGGAAACTATCCCCATGGTCACCCCCTTGCGGTACCAGTCCTGAGCCCGCCAGGGAATCAGTGTTCTCAAACACCCCTGATTCACCATAATGCGCAGGCTGCCTGACTGCCATGCATGGGTTGGCACACGGCGTTTCAGCCAGTGCTGCAGCGGGCGCATGTGCAGTAATCCCATGTGGAGTACTGATGATGCAGCTGCCATTAGACCAAGCAGTCTCTGAAACCTCTTCAGAGGCGCGCGCTCGCGCGCCCTGAATGCGGCTACCAGTGTCTGCACAGAGAGCGCGCGCTCTTGAGTGAGCCGCGCTTTCATTGTCACCGAGTCTAAAACCGTGCCCAGAAAGACCACAGTCTGGCTGGGGTTCAGTTCGCTTTTGGCAACATTGATTGTGAGACCCAGGCACTTTAAATGGCTGAGAATCAAATCCTTGTGAACTATTAGTTCGTCTCTCGACTGCGCTAGCACCAGCCAGTCGTCGAGATAATTCAGCACACGCACTCCCTGGCTTTTCAGCGGGGAGAGCGCTGCATCCATACATTTCGTGAATGTACGGGGTGCCAGAGCCAGACCGAACGGCAGAACGGTGTATTGATATGCCCTCCCCTCGAAGGCGAATCTCAAAAATGGCCTGTGACGAGGGTCGATCTGAATATGAAAGTATGCATCTTTCAGATCCATTGAAACAAACCAGTCCCCCGGGCGAACCTGCGCGAGAATTTGTTTGAGTGTTAACATTTTGAAAGGCCGTCTCATGAGAGCCCTGTTCAAACGCCTCAGATCTAGTATGGGTCTGAGCCCGCCGTCTTTCTTTGGAATTAGAAAATAGCGGCTGTAAAACCCCGAATACATTAGCGCGGGAGGGACTGACTCTATCGCTCCTTTTGCTAATAATTCCTGAACTTCGGTGCGAAGCACGTGATTCACGCCGCTTCTCACCGATGTCTCGATAACCGCCTGGAATTTCGGGGGTCTGCGAGCGAATTGGAGCGAGTAGCCTCGCTTTATAGTGTTTATGACCCAACTCGACACACCAGGGATGGCTTGCCAGGCCATCACTCGTGTGGCTAGGGCGTGACACACTGAATGGGGGGGACCGCCTAACATAGGGGGACCTGATACCCTTATAATGTGATTTGTGCACATACTGAGTGTTTGACTGACTGTATAGGCTTTTGCCCGGGGGGAAGTCAGTGTTACAACAGGGCGGGGGCCGCCTAGTGAAGGGGGACCGTGAACCCGTGTGTTGTGATTGTGAAACATGCTCTTTTTGTGCTTTTTTTGGGTCGCCGTGAAAACGGCGTTTGTTTGCAGAGACACGCTCACTGCTGCGGGCCTGTTTACAATATAAAATCCCCAGCCGCCTGAACTGAACAGGGAGCTGTGGGAAGTTTTGCTGGTTTCTTCGAGGGTGGTCCGGCAAGCGCGAGACACGAGCCCTCTCTCTTTCCCCTCCGTGCTAGGACGACTTCGGAGGCGCCTGGTCGGCCACGGCGCTGGGTCGAGGGCCTTGACGCCTGGGGAGCGGGTAGCGCTTCGCGGGCCTTGACTGGTGTTGGCTATCAGCCGCAGGGCGGGGCTGAGAGGCCTGTTTCGCCGGCTTGGCTGGATGAGGCGAAGGCGGCGGCTTGGGCTTGCTGGACGCGGAGCTCGAACGTTTCGGCAGGAAGTGTCGCATGGCCTGGGACGCTTTCTGTGCCTCTGTGTACCTCTCCGAGAATCCCTTCACCGCCGGGCCGAAGAGACCGGAGCTGGACACCGGGGCGTCGAGAAACCTCGTTTTGTCGGCCTCCTTGATTTCGGTGAGGTTAAGCCACAGATGGCGCTCGAGCACGACCAAACTAGCCATATTTCTGCCGATGGCCTGTGCTGTAGACTTAGTAGCACGCAGCGCTAAGTCCGTAGCACTCCTCAGGCCCCGAAAGGTCTCCGGGTCCGGGCCAGCCTCGTCCATGGACCGGAGGAGTTTGGCCTGGTAGACCTGCAACACGGCCATCGTGTGCAGGGCCGATGCAGCCTGACCGGAGGCGGCGTACGCGCGTCCAGCGAGGGCTGAAGTGTTACGGCAGGGTTTGTTGGGATGAGCGGCTCTAGCTCGCCAGCTAGCTGCAGTGTTCGGGCAAAGATGAGCTGCCACGGCCTCTTCGAGGGGCGGCAAAGACTCATAACCCTTTTCCGCTGCGCCATCCACGGAGGAGAGCGTCGCGGAAACTGCGGATCCCACACGTGCTGAGTATGGAGCGCGCCAGGCCTTGGTTAGCTCCTCGTGGACCTCGGGGAAAAATGGCGCCGGTTTGTGACGCGGGGCCTGCTGGCGCCCCTCCAGAAACCATCCATCCAGCCGACTAGGCGGCTCCTCGGGCGAGGCCCACTCGAGCTCGAGGTCCGCGACGGCCTTCGTCAGGATCCGAAGCATTTCGGCGTCGGAGTTCGTCCTGGTCGCTAATCCACTGGCCACCGATTGAGAAGCGGTGACGGGGTCGAGAGAGCCCGGCCACTCGTCCTCAGAAGCGGCGATGGAAAGGCTGTCGTCGCGCTCGAGAGATCCGCCGAAGGAGACGAGGCCCGCCACGTGTGGGGGGGGGGGGGGGGGGGGGGGTGCTGGTCTCCTGCGAACAGGACCGGTGATGGCGTTTGAGTCGGAGAAAGTGAAGCACGCGGGGACGCGGCCGGCGTGCGTTCACAAATCTCCATACCCTCCGGTTGCCGTTGGCTGCGACGCTTCTTCTTCCTCGGAATGGAAAGCGTGGTTGAAGCGGCCTCGCCGTCCCGGGAGAGAGCTAGCCGATTGCGCAGCACGGAGATAGGCATGCAGTCGCAGGCCTCACATCCGCCGGCAGAGAGAGCATTCTCTGCGTGGTCGACACCCAGGCAGGAAATGCAGCTCGTGTGCTGGTCTGCCTCGTGCAGACGGCCTCCGCACGTGGCGCAGGATGAACGAGGCATACTGAAAAGAATACAAAATAATAATACAAAGGATATAGGATGTCGCCGGATAGCCACAGGTGAGACGGCGTCAGGAGACAATCGACGTGCAGGCGAAGTCTGCTGAAGAGAAGCTCGCTCAGGCTGAAAGGCTTGTTCGACGGCGAATACACAGTAAAAAGCTCAGGGACATGTGTACTGTCGCTGAAGGAGTAAAATCTGCTATAATGGCGAATTCGGGGGTCTATATAGGCTGGGCCACGCCCCCTCGACGGGCTCTGACGTTGGGCTAGCTCATTGGTCGTGCGTCAGATTCGCCCGCGCCATTGGATGTGCAGTAAAAAAGTGCAAATGCGTTTTACATATAGGCTTCAGTAAATCGAGGAAAAGGAGTTTCCCCACTGCGTATAGCTACGCAATACGAAGTGACCATTCGAAAGGGAACCGGCGTTTTCAGAAATCTCCACTTTGCCCGGAGTTTTTAGAAATAATCGTTTTCTGTGATAAAAACGGCGTTTTCGTGTAAATGAGAGGGCAAAACGCAGAGAAATATCTGCGTTTTCCCATCGTGTAAACGGGGCCTTAAATAGACCTCTATAATTTCTGAATTAAAACAACATTTTTGTTTGATCATTTTGGGGGCATAAAGTAAATGATGATATCAGGACATTTTTTTCACACTAAATTAGTCATGTGTATATATATATATACACTCACCGGCCACTTTATTAGGTACCCCATGCTAGTAACGGGTTGGACCCCCTTTTGCCTTCAGAACTGCCTCAATTCTTCGTGGCATAGATTCAACAAGGTGCTGGAAGCATTCCTCAGGGAGTTTGGTCCATATTGACATGATGGCATCACACAGTTGCCGCAGATTTGTCGGCTGCACATCCATGATGCGAATCTCCCGTTCCACCACATCCCAAAGATGCTCTATTGGGTTGAGATCTGGTGACTGTGGAGGCCATTTTAGTACAGTGAACTCATTGTCATGTTCAAGAAACCAATTTGAAATGATTAGAGCTTTGTGACATGGTGGAAGTAGCCATCAGAGGATGGGTACATGGTGGCCATAAAGGGATGGACATGGTCAGAAACAATGCTCAGGTAGGCCGTGGCATTTAAACGATGCCCAATTGGCACTAAGGGGCCTAAAGTGTGCCAGGAAAACATCCCCCACACCATTACACCACCACCACCAGCCTGCACAGTGGTAACAAGGCATGATGGTTCCATGTTCTCATTCTGTTTACGCCAAATTCTGACTCTAACATCTGAATGTCTCAACAGAAATCGAGACTCATCAGACCAGGCAACATTTTTCCAGTCTTCAACTGTTCAATTTTGGTGAGCTCTTGCAAATTGTAGCCTCTTTTTCCTATTTGTAGTGGAGATGAGTGGTACCCGGTGGAGTCTTCTGCTGTTGTAGCCCATCCGCCTCAAGGTTGTGCGTGTTGTGGCTTCACAAATGCTTTGCTGCATACCTCGGTTGTAACGAGTGGTTATTTCAGTCACTGTTGCCCTTCTATCAGCTCGAACCAGTCTGGCCATTCTCCTCTGACCTCTGGCATCAACAAGGCATTTCCGCCCACAGAACTGCCGCTCACTGGATGTTTTTTCTTTTTCGGACCATTCTCTGTAAACCCTAGAGATGGTTGTGCGTGAAAATCCCAGTAGATTAGCAGTTTCTGAAATACTCAGAACAGCCCCTCTGGCACCAACAATCATGCCACGTTCAAAGTCACTCAAATCAACTTTCTTCCCCATACTGATGCTCGGTTTGAACTGCAGGAGATTGTCTTGACCATGTCTACATGCCTAAATGCACTGAGTTGCCGCCATGTGATTGGCTGCTTAGAAATTAAGTGTTAACGAGCAGTTGGACAGGTGTACCTAATAAAGTGGCCGGTGAGTGTATATATATATATATATATATATATATATAATTTTTTTACTTGGCTGTAAGAAGATAGGAAAGGGGATTATTCTTACCGGCATCTGAAGAGCAAGCGGGGCATATTGTTGTTCTGGAACACCCTACAACATGAAGTGCCTTTTCATCACCGCAGGTAGAGGTGCCCAAAACCACATAGACCTACATACACACAATGTGTAAATCTACAATACTGTCCAATACAAGCAAAGTGGCTCACTGAAAAATCAAAAACTGACATTAGGTACAAGCATCTTACCTGTGGAGTGGCTGTTGTCGTCTCAGTGAAACTGTCCTCACTTATGCTTATGTCACCCACATCATCCTCTGAGGGACATGTTCCAAAATGTCTTTTAGACCTGATAAGCAGCAAAACATTGACATTGTCTGCTTTAGTTATGAAGTCTGTAGATTCAATTACCTCTGAATACATTTCTTTTGTTTGCTTGTTTTTGAAAGGCTAAATGTCAAATTCATTGAACTGGCTCCAATGAAATGTATTATAGCAACATATCCCTCATATCTATGTAAATAGTAATCTGAGGTGTTTTGATTTTTTCCGTTCATGGATTGGCACCCTGCTATCTGACACCGAGGGCAAAACCAATCTCTGGATTCTGTTGAGTGAGAATGAAATATGGAGACCTGCAGTGAGACGTGAAGGTATAATAAGTAGCATTATTACAAGCATGTGTATTTGATATGTGTGTCTCACCCCTGCACCTGGGGCAATAATGGACTTTGGGATAAACCAAACCAGTGTCGTGTTTGTGTGTATGTGTGTGAGAGAGTAAAAGTGTGTGCAAAGTTGATATAGATAGAAAAATGGAAGAAAAATAAAATGGAAACACGAGTAACCAAGTGAAAAACGCAATTTTAGACAGAAAAATTGCCACCCATGTAGCTTTTAAATAAGGTTATAGATCACTGGGTCCATTTTGGGGCATAGGAATGACCTATTTTGATGTGTAATTGCTGTAGTACAAGCTAAACCAAGCATGTAATTGAAAGCGTGCAACTGCTCCATTGAAGTGCAGGGGCCAGAGGAACCCGACATAAGTATGCTGCTTTAGAAAACACCACACCATGGCTCAATGTCACTAAACCCCCTAAACACAGGCATTGAGAATTAGATACTTAGCCAGGGCGAGGAAAATATCATCCAGCTGTTTTGATGTGCGTGTGTGTGTGTTTTAAGTCTTCCGACACATGCTCAAGGAGATGAAAACATCTTTAAATGTTTCATTGGCTTTAGCTCCAGCCTCCTCTCCTAATAAACAATTTAATGCCACGTTTACACGCTGTTCACCCGATAAAGCAGGGAAATGAACCCAGACCAGCAGCAATCGAACCATTAAAAGGTTTTTGATGAAATGGAAAAAGGCTGTTTTCAAGCCATTTTTATCACAGTCTCTATTTTCAAAAAAAATATATGATCAATAAGTTATGACAACATATGTGAGTACATGGCAATATTCAACTTTATGTTATACAAGATTGAACTAATTTTTAAAGTCAGTTTAATGTAATTTAAGTTTAAATTACTAACATCCAAGTTGATTGCACTTAAAAATTTAAGGTAGCAACCTTAAATCCGACAATGATATTATTTCTTGAGTCTTGACCAACTTTGTTTTTCTAGTAAAAAAAATAATTCTACTTCAAAAGTTGTATTAATTACATTAATTTATTATAATTAAATGTTATTATTATAATGCAATTCTGTAACCTTTAATCAAGTTCCATTGAAATTCAGGAATTGAGCTGGAAAGTTGGAATTTAAAAGTTGGTGTCCACATACCTGTGTTGTGGTCATGTAGTGAAGATATTATTAGATATTAAGATAGTATATAAGATATTATTATTTCCCCAAAAAATATTAATAATTTAGATTATTTATTCTTTGAAAATCCATTGCCTCCATTACTTAAGAATAAGAGAAATGAATAAGTGTGTTATTAACGTGCATCTCTGACCCCCTGCTAGCCTTGCCTCTCACCCGTAGCAGTAAGAGATGCAGGCAGTGATGGACAGAAGGGTGATGAAGAGCACAATACACATTGCTATAGTCATATTCCTCCTCTTCTCTTCTTCAGCCTGCTGCAACTCCCACCATTCAAGATCACTGAACTGACAGCGCTCCCCCATGTAACCTAACACACAGCTGCAGCACACACATGCATACAGATCATCATTAAATGCAATATTCATTATTTCAGTCAGTGGACATACAGAACAGAACATAGGAATAAAATGGTCTATGGGATATGCTTAACATGTGTCCTTTTTGTCAAGGGCAAATGTTCAATAAAAAGCCAAATTATTTGTAGTACAAGACTGCCATCTACTGCTTGTTAACCACACTTTAAAAATCAGCTTAGATTTTAATCTTAAAACGGATAATGAGAATATAAAAAAAATCTGGTTAAAGTTTCTGTATGACAAAAGCTACAGTATATAAGCAAACACTTGCTTGCAGGCATAAGACTCCATCTCAGGGAAATAGAAGCACACTCCGTCATACAGACAGTACGAGTCGTGAGTGGAGGGACAGCTCTGCACAACATTATTGTGTTGCCATGGCGATGTGACATCAAGTGGACTGCCCGTACTCGGCCAAGAGGAGGCGCCCTTAAACTCCTCTGCAACGAAACAGAGCATGAAAATGAGGTCACTATTATGTTGCATCATACATTTCTACTAAATGTCAGTACATTACTCTTTTGCACAAACTCAGCTTAGCAGGTCCTATCAAATAACTGCTCATGGTATCAAGCCATAATGGCACATAATACATTAAGCTGAGAAGGTACTGTTTCAGTTTAAACATTCAGAAGATGAATCTTACCCTGACAGCTGAATCCAGTGCCTGTGAACCCAGATCGGCATCTACACTGATATTTTCCTACTGCATTCAAGCACTCTGCGTTTACATCGCAGTCGTGCATATCTAATCTGCACTCATCTATATCTGTAAAATACACATAAAGATCTGTATTTAGGAAAAATAATATGTAATGTATTTGTATGTATGTATGTATGTATGTATGTATGTATGTATATATATATATATATATATATATATACACACACACACACACACACTACTGTTCAAAAGTTTCAGGTCAGTACGTATTTTTTAAAAAGTCTCTTATGCTCACCAAAGCTGCATTTATTTAATTAAAAATACAGTAAAATATTATTACAGTTTAAAAAACATTTTTCTATTTTAATAATTGCTAAATTATTTTAATAATTTAATAATATTGCTAATATGAATTTTCAGCATCATTACTCCAGTCATCAGTGTCACATGATCCTTCAGAAATCATTCTAATATGCTGATTTGGTGCTAAAGAAACATTTCGTATTATTATTAATTTTTCATGATTCTTTGATGAAAAAAAAAAAAATGAAAAAAAAACATTTATTTGAAATAGAAATCTTTGACTCTAAACTTTTGAACGGTAGTATCACAAAAATGTATAGTCATATAACTGATACTCAGACCAATGCGAATGTTGCCTTTATACAGCAGTTCAGTAAACAAGTTGAAATTGAATAACTTACATTTTAGTCACAATATTGCCACTACTTTGCTTTGCATGCAGTTTATCACCATCAATGAATATCGTTGCAAACAAATCCAATGCTGAATTAACTATTAGAATAGAACTATTTCAAGCAACTCAGAATGAGTCTTCGACTCTCCGTAGTGATGTTACTGTATGAATCAATGTTTCTGAAATTAATCAGTTGAGTGAATGATTCAAAAGACAGTAACAAGCCACAAATACACAAAACTGACAGCCTGTTTGGAATGTGCCAACACAGACAAGCGAAGTGATAAAAATAGTAAAAAGTCCCAGTGCTGTTAGACTGTTATATCAGTACATTTGGAACGCTGCAAGACCAATTTGAAGACCGAAACTAACTGTAATTGGTTAGTTCAAATACACATAAATATATTCATATATATGTGTGTGTGTGTTGTCGTACCCATACAGTGCTGACCATCTCCACTGAATCCAGTCTTGCATTGGCAGAAATATCCACCTGCTGTGTTCATACACTCAGCCTCAGAAATACTACAATCTCCCAGGCCTGCTTTGCATTCATCAATGTCTATACAAACACACACAAACACATATTGTCAATACTGTATGTGCTCATCTAAACAAACCTATATTTACATAAAGACTGATCAATACATCCAATAACAGGTGCATACGGCACCCACATAAACATCAATATCCCTACACTCAAATTCAGTTTCACACATACATCACAAACCTGCTGCTTCAGTCTATACGAAATCAAAATCATCTGACATGTAGTGCAAACACACACAGACTTACACACACTTACCCACACACAGTTCCCCATCTCCGGTGAAACCTCTCACACACTGACACACGGCTCGGCCCTCCTGCAGCACACACTGAGCGTTCACATCACATCTGAGAGAGTAGCAGTCATCCTGGTCTAAATGAAATGAACACCATTCTCAAGTTCATTTATTAGAAATGAGTCAATCACAGTATTCAGCAACCACAAAAATGTGAATAATGAAAATGAGTAATAAATATCTCGTCTATGATGAATGAAATTGTTTTGAATATTGTTCTACCCAAAATCATCTTCTCTGTGTAAAGCATGGCCAGTGGTGTGCTCTCATCATTCAGTGTTTTATTTCTCAGACGATCTCTTGATTCACCATCATCTGAATCTATGTGGAAAAATACAGCTCTTTTTTATTCAAACAGTTACTTTTCAAATTGCTTTGATGGTTTAATGTGTTTTTTTAGGAATCTATTTTTTTATTTGTATTTTAACTCAATTCTCATCACACTGACCAGGGAATGATGTATTAATCGCCAGACAGTCTTTTCCATCAGCTGAGAGAACGTGATTTGAGTGACATGAGCAATGAGCCAATCCCAGTCTGCTCTCACACACTTGGGCACATCCTCCGTTTTCATGAAGACAAACATCTGCTCCTAGGAGAAAGAAACATGCAGTGCACAATATGTTGAGTCAAAGATGGAAGTAAAGATGTATAAGATGGAAATTATAGTAGTTCACTTCATCACAATTATATTTGATATATTATAGTTTATCACAAATATTCACAAAAATAAGTGTAAATTCAGTGGAATTTTAAATAATATCACTACATTGGTTTGAGCGGATGTTGCCATTTTTGTCTGTCAAACTGTCAATTTATCATGTTAAGAGAAATATTTTATTAATGTGTAAATAATCACGTTATTATTAATGAAGTTTACGTGCCTGAGCTTAACCAGAGCAAATTTCATATTTTCACATATTTGGTGTGTACCCTTTTCCAAAAACACACTACCGTTCAAAAGTTTGGGGTCAGTAATAAGAAATGAAATACAGCAAAGATGCATTAAAGGGATACTCCACCGTTTTTTCATATTAAACTATGTTATTCTCTTATCTAAGACGAGTTGATACATACCTCTCTCGTCTCAGTGCGTGCACTGAATCGCTCTGTCGGGCGGAGAACTTTGAGAGCAGTTAGCTTAGCCCCATTCATTGTATATGGGCCAAACAGAGATGAAGTTAGAAGGGACCAAACCCATCCACGTTTTCTCTATTTAAATATAGTTACACGAGTAGTTACACGACCAAGTATGGTGACACTAAATAAAATGTGGCGCTTTTTATAAGCGGGTAAAATGGATAACTATAATGTATGGCGGAATAGCACTTATTGGGAGCACTTCGACTCGGCGCTGTAATATCTTCACTCGTGAAAAGTCCTTCCCTCTCCCTCTCCCTGATACTTCGTCAACTCTGCACAAAAAACTACTACTACTGCAGGCGTGCAGGTCACGTTGGTTCTATTGACGGAAATGACAGGGAGAGGGAGAGGGAGAGGACTTTTCACGAGTGAAGATATTACAGCGCCGAGTCGAAGTGCTCCCAATAAGTGCTATTCCGCCATACATTATAGTTATCCATTTTACCCGCTTATAAAAAGCGCCACATTTTATTTAGTGTCACCATACTTGGTCGTGTAACTACTCGTGTAACTATATTTAAATAGAGAAAACGTGGACGTGTTTGGTCGCTTCTAACTTCATCTCTGTTTGGCCCATATACAATGAATGGGGCTAAGCTAACTGCTCTCAAAGTTCTCCGCCCGACAGAGCGATTCAGTGCACGCACTGAGACGAGAGAGGTATGTATCAACTCGTCTTAGATAAGAGAATAACATAGTTTAATATGAAAAAACGGTGGAGTATCCCTTTAAATTGATCAAAAGTGACAGTAAAAACATTTACATTTGTATTTCAAAGAAATGCTTTCTATTCATGCTGAAAACCACAGGAATAAGTTATTTTTTTAAATATTTCAAACCAATAATATTTCACAATATTACGGTTTTACTGTATCAAATAAGTGCAGTCTTGGTGAGTACAAGAGACTTCTTTCAAAAACTTTTTAACATCTTAATGATCCCAATTTTTTGAAAGAGTGTGTACTTTCATTGACTAAAACAAAGGCATATTTATTTTTTTAACATTATGGAGTTAATGTATAAAAGGAATGATCCAGTCCAATCTGTTTCCCTCTTTAGTTACACACTAAAGAGTAACAACCTCCATTTCCTTATGCACGTTATTAAAAACAATGGTTCAAAATATGCTAATAATAGGACACAGCATCTGTACCCGGTTTGGCAAGAGGGTGGACAATAACCAGAGAAGCTGGTTGGATAGAGTCATCATGGACATGTTCAAGGTTTCGTCCAGTTCTTCTCATGTCCAGCCGGTAAAGTAGGTGACCCTCCCAGTCACTGACCCAGAGCACATTCTCAAATACTGCAACGTCAAATGGGCGACCTGAGCCAAAGCAAAAATGATCAACAGAAAACAGAAAAAAAAGGGTTTTTTTTGTCACAAACCAGCATAAAATCAGATTTGCAACATAAGTTTGTGCTCACTTCCATCATGTTTACATTCAGTATTTGCTTGTATATTGAAAGTGTGTGCATGCTTTTGGCAGAGAAGCCTCACCTACTTGGTTTTCACTTAGTATATGGCGATTAGACCCGTCCAGCTTGGCCGACTCAATCACACCTCTGCTCAGGTCACACCAGTACAGACGCTGGGAGCCGTGATCCACAGCTAGTCCACTAGGAGACACCAGACCGGTGTTGACCACAACTTCACGCATGTCTCTGTTCAAACCTGACCGCTCCACTGCAGGACGACTACCCATGTCTGTCCAATATACCTTCCTCCAGACACAAAGACAAGAAGTTCATGTATGATTACGAGTCAAGATCCATTTTAATGTTTAAGAAAAGTGCTGCTTGGAATAACATGAGGGTGATTAAATAAGGTTTTTTTTTTGCTGAACTCTTCCAAGAAAAAAGATAATCAGAATAAAATGACGGTGGCCACTGTACAATTTTAAGTTTATATGATTTAGGCAAATCGCATTGAAGAAACATGCGGGTTCAAAAGTCTTACTGCGCCTGAGGATGTAGGACAATGCCTCTGGGTTTTTGGATGTCTTTCTCTATAAAAATCTCCCTGTCAAGGCCATTTAAACTGCTGCGGGAAATAGAGGATAATCTGAAATGCAGAATGTTAAAGTCAGTTGAGCAAATAAGTAAGTTGTTAAGGAAGTGTGTCTGTATTCATCTGTAGCCCACCCTCTATCAGTCCAGTATAGCTTGCGATGGACCCAGTCCACAGCCAGACCCTCGGGTGAGTCGAGTCCAGTGGAGAAAAGCATCTCTCTGAAGCCTCCATCCAGTGAAGCCCTCTCAATACGCTTCAGGCCTTTATCTGCAAAATACACCTAAACAAACAAACAAACCCAAATGACTACTTCCATATGAGACATTATCATTATTTGGTTACAATTTCAAGGACATTGTCACGATTGGGTCTCGTCTTGGTCACATTTCATGTCATTGTCATGTTTCTGTGTCTAGTCATGTGATTCTGTTTGTCATGTGATCCTGCCATGTGTCTTGTCATTGGTTAATCGTCTGTTCATTGTTCACAGGTGTCCCTTGTCTTGTCATTAGTCTGTGTATTTAAGCCCTCATGTTTGCCATGTGTCTTTGTCAAGTTTTATTTCACTGTAACCTCTGTTGTGTAAGTTCATGGTTTCATTTTGAGTTTTTCATGCCACACCATGTTTTTGTTTCATGTTTAATCTGGTTTGTAATAAACTGCACTTGGGATCCACTGGAGGCAAGTGTAGATGAAAACTCATTACAGAAAACTTGACCTACAATGAACCCAGCGGTTGCCCTCCTAAATTTACGCCAGGAGAATTGTCCTCTGGAAAAATATGTGAAGGAATTTTGTGGGCTGTGCTGCCAGTTGGATTTTAATGACGTTGCTTTGAAATACATTTTTTGGGTGAGTTGAATGAGCCCATTCACTCCCAGCTTCATGGAAAAATCCACTGGTCCCTGGCCCAATACATTGACTACGCCTTGTTGTTAAGTGGCTCATCGTTCATGGTGGGTTTTGCAGATGAGGAAACCCACAACCCCACAGTACCGTCTAAGCCTGAATCTCTTCACATCATGCCTGCCAAGCCAGAGACTGTTCACGCCATGTCTGCGGTGCCTGTGTCTTCGGTCGATTAGCCGTTGCCACGCCGTCTGAGCCCTCAGCAGAAATGGCCGCCGCTATGCCTGAGCCCTCAGTGACTCCAACGCCATGTGGTGTGTGTGGGCGGCGCACACATTTGAGCCGGTGTCTGTTCCTGAGCCGTATGTTCATGTCTTCATTTTGAGTTTTTCATGCCATGTTTAATCTTGTTTGTAATAAACTGCACTTGGGTTCCCATCTACACTTGTCTCCAGTGGATCCCATTACAGACATATTGAAAGACAAATTATCGTAAATAAGTTCTGATTTAGTTGAAAATAAGATTAATCCCAATAACTTTATTCTATTGACAACCACTATTTTCAACAGTACATTTAGCACACAAAGTAAAAAAAGTTTGTTTTTTGTTTTTCAGGATTCTCTCTCCATTGAATATGTGGGTTTTTTTTGTTGTTGTTGTTTTATTTAATTATTTGTGGATTCGTTTTTTATTTATTTATTAAAAATTGACATTTTGAATGGGCCAGAAGAAGGCCCTGAATCTATGTACTGTGTAAAATGTGTACATGAATGAAAAGAAAAAAAGTGTATCCTCTTGCACTTATACTCTGTGGCCACTAGATGACAGTAAAATACAGTATCAACAGGAGCCCCTGAACTTTATTCCTGTTTCCTTACATCTTATGTCCACTAGAAGGCAGTTGTAAACACAATCACTGCAGTGGCCATCGATAAACTGTCACAGCACACTTTCTTCAGCCATGTGTTTGTGTGATATTTTATTTTACCCTTTTCTGCACTGGATCATAATCCAGAGCAATGATAGACCCTCTTGGTTCCTCCAGTAGTTTTCTGCTCCTTTTGCCATTTGTGGTAATCTTTCTTATATCTACTACATTGGCAAACAACAGGTACGTTGGAGGTCCTGCTAAAAAAAAAAAAAAAAGGAAATAGATTCCAGAAGATCTAGGTCACTGGAAGCAAATGCACTTAAATACTGATTAACTACATGCTTAACCCAATAATTCTAGGAAACAAAATGTGGGAGACAGACAGGCACCCTGGCAGAATGTAGAATATAAAAGCTTGTTGGACTTGCCTGTGGCAGCACAGTGTTTACCATCAGACTGTAGCTGATATCCAGGCTGGCACTCACACACCAACCTGCCTGGAAATAAAGTCACACACAACTGACTGCAGCCCCCCCGATCTGCAGACAAACAGCCTGAAACACACAGACAATGGTGAAGAAAACAGTCATATTTGCATTCATTAAATAAGGCTTTTAACATACTTTGACACACACACCTGTGCATGAATGGCCATCAGAATTTAGCACAGATCCATCTGGACACACACACACATCTCCTTCTGCTGTGTGTACACATGCATGATCACAAGCTGTAACATTCTCCACACATGGTTTAGTCTCTGTAGATGCACAGGGAGAAAGGTAAGCAGGCCATCTTTTCTGTATTTACAACAATATATATACAAAAATGACCAAATTAACCAAATCTGTATGTGTGTATTTTTTCCCACATATATTTTAGGCCATTTTACATATGTTATAAATACAATCATATTTCATAAATATATATTTTAAAATACAAAAAAATACATATTTTAAAACCGGTGATGTATTTTCTTGCCCCTTAAAGTACATTTTGTAATAATTTGGAATTTGAAGGTTTAATATCATATTATATTTTACATTTGAATAAAATACAGTGAAATTGCAAACAAACAAAAACAATATTACTTGAAATGATATTGTTTATCTTTCAACTTGGTTTTGATTAGTTAAGATCAATTTAATAACATAGATTTAAGAAAATAAAAAGTTAATTTCAAAATAACAAAATTACAAACATAACAATAAGGTCAATATCAACTGTTATAACCCTGCCATTTCAATTTAATTGTCACTTCACATATTCTTGTGCAGCCAAGCAGTAATAGGATGGCATGGTCATTTCAGGAAATGGAATGACCTGTTGGATGACAAGATAATGCAAATGGCCTCAATCTTTCATTTCAAAAATCCCTGTCCTCAGATGATCAATTCTCACCTCAATGTTTCCATGAACACCTCTCTGAACCAACAGACCTTGTGGCACTGTGCCTATCAGGCAGTCCTTATTCTGACACCTAATAATCCCAAATCCAATCATCCTATATTTACAAAACACCGGTCCTGATATCAATTAAGAGTGTCTAGAACATTTTGTTTTATTCAGGTTAACAATGGATACATATAAAAACTGTGCCTCCTGTTCAGTTACATTACGTAATGACAGCAGTTCAAACAGACATAAATACAGATTTAACTCCAGAGAGCTACAGAATAAGGAGCTATTTTTATCTGGAATGGTACTGTCACCAGTGCTGATGATAGACTCTGAAGAAGCCATATGGTAGGAAACAAGCTTCTTATCTGGACACTCTCCAATCCTGTTATAATGTCAGGACCATAATCCCACCCACAAAGGTCATAGTGCGAAAGGGGTCCATTGCTCAGAGTGAGTGAAAGCATTTGATGCTCTGAGACAGTTAACAAGAAGATTATGTGACAATTTCACTCTTAAACTAAGCTTAAAATCATTCAATCAAAACTGATTTTTTAAATTAAAATTATTTTAATATTGCATCTATGCACATAAATTCATGTGCCCTCATAATCTTTCATCAAAATAACTCCCCCTGCCTCCTGCAACGACATCTCATCTCTTCTCTGATGATGTGTTTACTTGCGAGAGGGCGGGACATCCTGTCACTCACATGACATCACAGCAATAGCAAACCACAACCATTCAATGAACCAATAAATTCCTGATTGGACAAAATCATGTCCCAACCTACATTTTTTTTCTTGTTCAAGCAGCTGTTTCACTCGATATGTGTCAAAATAGGGAAGAAAAGACTATCGCAAGTTTCATGCCGACTTTAAAATAATCTCCTTTTTTGTATAAATTTACATCTGCATTCAAAACTTAAATGTATTTATAATCCTAAAATAATTATTCACAAAAAGTACAAATCTATTCCATTATTTATTTTATAATTCTATAACATCTATATTCATTTATTGTCATTTCCTCATCACTAATCATTCTGAATATTCTGACAGCCAGAACACATTACAACAAACTTGATTGCATGTGTGTATGAGTGTCCGCAGGTGCGAGAACTGTATGGAGCGTTAATCTCGCTGTTGCTTTGCTCCTGACCTGCTTAGCCAGGCAAAGCTGCTGACTAAATATGTTCCTTATTACTGATGTCACCTCATTATCTTATGGCACTGCGCTGTCCTGCTCTGCTTCAATGCACAATTAGAGTGCTCTTTTTAGCACTTTTCCTTTTATAAATCTCTCTCTCCCTGACCCACAACTTCTAGCTAGGGTTGTGAAGATCAAGAGAGGAACAGGCCTGATTTTATGTGATGGTTTCTGTTTTGTGTGGCCAGCAGTCGTCCGCGAGGGGCTGCTGGCTTATACTTTCATTTTTGTATTTGTTTTATTTTGTTATTAAAATTGTGAAATGTTAGCCGGTTCCCACCTCCTTCTTCCCATAACAACGAACTGCATTACAATGTTGGTTTTCCTATTTTGTAAGTGACCGAGCATTAGTCAAAGTAATGTCCCTATTTTAAAAACAAAGCCTTATAAAGGTAACAAATTATAAAATTAAAAAGAATGGCAGACATTTAGGCCAAAGTGGCGAAGATAAAAATCTTTTTCATTATTTTCTTTGTTATAAAAAGATAAGAACAAAGAAATACATTACATGTACACAACATATAATATAAAGTTAAATAAACAGTGCTTTATTTTTTAGTTACAGTAGGTGTATTTAAAGGGGTCATATAATGGTACATGCACTTTTACAAGTTGATTGTACTGAAATGTGTGTTGGCAGTGCCTGTACACAACCATCATATAATGATAAAAATCCATCCAGTGTTTTTGTTTTAATCTCCTTATATGTTTTCCCCTGCCTCAAATTGAGCCGTTCGATTTTGTAACGTCACACGCTCGGACGCCCCTCCCACAATTATTGATTGACAGCATCGTTTCAACACAGACCCGCCCTCGCTCGTGAGCGAGCTGTCAATCATAGTCTGCGCGGACCGGCGCAGTCATGGTTGATATGCTGGAGCACTGTCTATGAGCAGAATGGCGTCTAAAGCCTGGCTCACACTACAGGAGTTTTAGGCCGATTTATGCCCGATTTTCCCCTCCCGAGAATCGGAGAAAAAATCTTGTCGAGGACCTCGATCGGTTCCGATGTTCGGCACAGATTATCTGGTAATGTGAGGCATTCACAGATCGAATCTTGCACCTCCCGATCTGCTCTTACACAAATCGGGCTCGCCCCGATCATATCAAACATGTTTGATATTTATCGGGATGAGCAAGATTGTGATTACGTCAGTACTGTCACAATAGCCAATAAGTAGGGCTGTCATGGTGAAGGAATTTCCATTGAGGTAATTTTGAGTGACTCAACAGCGCGATGCGCGCATTATCTCCATTTATATTTATTGCTAAATAAATAAGCACAATACAGTATAATAAATAATAATAAAATACTAAATGCATAATAAAGGCATCTGAAATAATAAACTAAGTAGCCTACAATCTAGTGTTGTCAAAAATATAGATTTTTCGATATCGATCCTGAACCATCTGCAACTCTTCCGTCTTCCGCAGGATGCACGCGATCTTCAGTAGTGAACGCGCCAGAGAGAAATGCACATTTCATATAGATTACATAAGCAGAGAGCAGTCTGTTGTCTGTTTTCTTTCGTTTTGAATTGTTCTGTTTAAAAGTAGACATGTCTGTGAGGCAAGTAGGCTATCTTATACGCTGAGTTTCGGTTCATTTATGAAGTATCGCCGACGCCTCCGTTTCGTGATTATCTATCGTCTGCTATATTTACTTCTTATTTATAAAAATCCAGGCAATTGGTTGATGAAACATTGTTTAAAATTAAGATACAATTAATACAAAACGAAATTCGATTTAAAGAAAGGTTTTGTGCTTTCTGTTTGATGTCTTTGTGAAAGATTTAAAGCATATTTTAAAGTCGCTTAGAGCGGTCATGTCCGTAACATTGTTTTTTCCTCAAATGCCAACACGAAAAATAAAATAATATGAATATTTTATGTTCTGTGGAGACTGAGAGCCCTTTCTTCATCCGGTGGGTAGTAGCTACTGTAGGCTATTACTTTGGTTTGCACAGTGTAATTCACAGAATTAGGCCTAGGCCTACACAAAAATATTTTCATTATAAAATATTTATATTCATTATAAAGTTATATTCATTCAAAGATAGGTTAAATGAAACAAGCTGTTAATTATTTTAATTTTAACTTTGAGCTCCACTTTACAATGCTCAGCTGAGCAGCAATGGGCATTGAGCAACGCTGCTGATGCTTTACCTTATAGAGATCTATGGCATTGATTCATTGTATTGAACAGAGCTGACGCCATTCATTAGAAATATCCTTATTAAAAGGATGATTTTTTTTTAAAAGATTTCGCTTTCCTTGGTCACACGGCAACCTTTTCACGAATATGACTTGATATGAAGGACAGATATTTTGTTTACATCCACCTTTCCGCTTCCGATCTGTTGCGTGAGATCACGTGAGGCGCTTTCTCTGGCACGAATCTTAATAACATTGTGTAGTGTGTGATGCGCCACGATTTTCAAATCTTGTAGTGTGAGCATGTTTAAGATTTGAGGTAAGAAAATCTGCAAAGATTCTCCTTAAGTGTGAGCTGCAACCAGATTTCAAAATCGGTTAGGATTTTAAAACTCCTGTAGTGTGAGCGAGGCTTAAGCGATTGTGGTGTTCTGTTCTTGGGTGTAATAACGAACACAGCAGTCATTTTAATGTTCCTAAATCCGAACCGCTGAAGACGCAGTGGCTGAGTTTGTTTTCGAAGGGAATATTCCCCACGAGCAACGTCAATGCGTTCATGTTTGCGCGAATCATTTCTCAGCAGACTGCTTTATAAACAAGGGTCAGTATAAAGCTGGTTTTGCTAAGAAGCTGCTCATGAAAAATGGATCGGTACCAGCTATTCGTGTTCCTGCTGAACCTCCAGAAAACTGAAGTGAGTGTAACGTTTTATTAAACTTTATATTAATATTTATATTAATCTTTGCAAATCGCTAGCTGCACGCTTCACAATGAATGCGTCTAAGGTTTACACTCAGGGTAAGTTACTTTACGGCATGTTTTCTATCTATGATGTTCTCAATATAATTCATAATCCCACGTTTATACTGAACAACGCGTTATGGTTATTGTGTTACAAACGGTGTACACACAGAACAGAGAGGCGGGGTGAGCAAAGCTCATTATCATTTAAAGTCATATGCACTGAAACGGCGTGCTGAAAACAGAGCTGTTTTTGACCAAGTAAAATAAGTGTTTTCTTACAATACTAATGAGAATTTTTAATTGAAGTATATTACAAACTTTTAATTTAGACCCTAAAGAATCATACTAGCTTGTACAAAAATGGCATTATATGACCCCTTTAACAGAAGCATTCAAGAATTCACCAACACGGACACTCCGGCACGGACACTCCGGCACGGACACTACCGCACGGGCACAGGCACCGGCACCGACACTCACTCCGGCACCAACACAATGTCACAAGAAACGTGAATTTGACTTGGTTATATCAGACTTACCAACAGCGGTTACACAAACAAAACTAGACAAGATGCACGGACACTCCGGCACGGACACGAAAACTACGGCACGGACACTACGGCACGGACACTACGTGGTTCACAGGTTTGCAACAATATTAGAGTGAGTAAATAAGGACAGAATTTTCATTTTTGGGTGAACATATTTTAAGAACAAGTGGCAGCATGTTTACTATTAGGCTACTGTCACTTTAAAACCGTATACACGCATATGACACGCACCCGATTTTCTCTCAAGTGTTTGCTTTCACTTTAGACATAACCAACTGTGTTTATGTAAACCTTGTGTGTAATTGCCAGTATTAACGAAAGATAACTTAGTCCAGTATCCAGGCACTGCTTGACAGACTTTTAGTGCCTGTAAACTTCGAGTGTATGCGCTCATAAAAGCACAGGTTAGAACAGCGCATCAGCACGCAAATGAAATGTTTAACCGGAAAGGCTATAAAGTATATCCAAATAATGAACTTTTATCCCGTAAGTGTAACTCGACCTCTGCGTTAACATGTGATTTGAATATACATTGCATTGTACAGTATGTTGGGACAGAGGTGATAGAATACACTATAGCACGATACTACGATATTTCTTCAAAAGCAGATCGTGGAGACATTTTAATCATCCACGATCAAAAATCGTGATATTGTACACCTCTACTTCCAGCTCATTGATATGTATGCTACTAGTGCTAGTGTTTCATAATCCATCCCCCATTCTCCAGTCCTACCTTGGCAGGTCTTCAAATCGGGCAGTAACAGGTAACCCTTAGGGCAGGTGCAGAAGTAAGAACCCGGAACGTTCTCACATCCCAGTGAGCAGCCGTGATTCCACAGGGCGCATTCATTGATATCTAAACGAGAAGGAGAGATTTTTTTCAGACGGATACATTTTGAACAAAAGAATAAGAAAGCTGTGAATTTCTACACTAATGCTATCATGTCTCTTAGATGTTACTGTGTTTCACAAAGGAAACAGAGGCTGTACCTTCACAGTAGTTGCCTTGTTTACTGAGGGAAAAACCATCCCTGCAGCGGCACAGACCAGTGTCACTGTGACTGGAACACACTTTCACACACTCTCCTGTGTGTCGATTGCAGCCTGCACAAGAACAAACAGCATATCCTTCCATACACAGACCACCAATATGTTATAAAGTTGCTCTTCTTTATGTGATGTTTAAGATAATTATAAGACATTTTAACTCTTTCCCCGCCAGCGTTTAAAAAAATTGGAATAATAAAATAATTGTTACAAATAATTACAATAATTCTTCCAATGTGTTTTGTTTAGCTATTTTGAATGCACATACTCCAGCATACTTTATTATCAGATTTTATTAAAGCAATTAATCATTTCATCTTTTCATTACCAACCTGGAGTGAATGGAGGTGGAATTTCCACCACCGGCTGATTGATGGGATGTACCACTTTGAGATCAGCAAGGGGGTGCGGCATCCTTTTGGAATTGACATTCTCCCCTCGGCCCCCTGTGTACTTGTTTACTCGTGTTATTCTTTTTGACTTAAAGTCTATTAGGTACACATAATCCAGGAAAATCGTCATCCTCAGAGCCTGTGGTCTAGCGGTAGAACAGGGAGGACATTTATACTATTATACTATATCTTTACTATAATAGAGTAATGTGTGAACATTTTTAGTTTTTATTTTCTTTTACATAAAGGATTGATCTCAATTTTACCTGAAGGGCTGATTAAATACGTTGATAATGTTGCCATCATAGTTGCAGGAGCCCATTGCAGTGTACCCTTCTTGACCTTGCTGAACCCAGAACAGTCTCCTGTCCCGGTGGTCTATAGCCAGAACCTTCAGTGACATTCTGTCTGCAACTTTCAGCACTGTCGCCTTCTTCCCACCTGTCATGTCTGAACGCTGGATACTCGGAGGCACCCCATCTGACAACCAGAAAATATATCTGGAAAAAAAGTTGTACATATAAGTGTAGCACCGTTAAACATCATTCGCATAGATCATCTCACATCTCTGTAACCTTCAACTTATTCAGCAAAATTGTAAATGATACATTTAGATTAATTCAGATTATATGTCATTATGAAAAAATGGCATCAAAATAAATGTAAAGTGAAAAATTTCATTTCAGTTTTTAATATACAAGTATAAAGTAGGAAGGCACAATATAATGCTATGCTACCATATCACTTATCGGCTGAATACATGTTTTATATTGTATCAGTGGATATTATTATTACACTTCTATTCACACCTCTATTATTACACTTAGATTTAGATTGTCGTCGCACTCACATAAAGTTAATCTTTAAGAAAACAAATTACTTAATACTATTAAATATAATCTTTAACAAATATCAAAATTAATATCCTTTTTCATACTGTACATTATAATGTTGCGATGCACACTTAAAATCACTGAAAAGGTATTTTGGTTTTTAGTGTTTTATGTATTTAGCCAAAACAGTATAGAATTGAATACAAGCCATTTTCAGTTACTGGCCATGACATGAAAATAATTATCGGCATATCAACCAGACATTTATATCGGTGCATCCTCAATATAAATATTACATATTATATATCAAATAAATATTAGTCAAACAGTGTTTTTAAGTTAAAATATATAAATTAAATGACCCAATCTCCATCAATACAAATACTGAATTGCGACTGGAAAAAAAAACCTTTCCAGTTTCCAAAATGAATATGTAATAGTGTTGATTTATTTGTATTGAAAACAAAATGATTGCTTATTTAACACTTGTTTATCTCTTCAGACTGCTCCTTCGACTTAAAAGTGAGGCCAGTGTGCTGTAGAATGCTGTTGGAGAGACCCTGTTAAAACTGCACCTATGTGCCAGTCATGTTCGAAAGAATGTGAACGTCTGAAAGCTCCAGCATTTATAGCAAGGAGGCAAACTAGGATTTGAGCAACACAGTCCTGAGAAGAGCTATGTCTCAATATGCTAACAACTTTATTGCCATTGAAGTTTATGCTCTTTTATGTAGTTTTTTTTTAATACAACATAAAATATTTTTAATATTTGTTTAAAAATAAAAAATGCATTTAATACTTATATCACTATAATTGTGCATTTCAATTTTCAGGAGAGATCAACCTAAAATGAGTACATTATTCCAATTCTTGCACTTTTCCTTTCCATGAACGACAGTATACACTCACCTAAAGGATTATTAGGAACACCATACTAATACTGTGTTTGACCCCCTTTCGCCTTCAGAACTGCCTTAATTCTATGTGGCATTGATTCAACAAGGTGCTGAAAGCATTCTTTAGAAATGTTGGCCCATATTGATAGGATAGCATCTTGCAGTTGATGGAGATTTGTGGGATGCACATCCAGGGCACGAAGCTCCCGTTCCACCACATCCCAAAGATGCACTATTGGGTTGAGATCTGGTGACTGTGGGGGCCATTTTAGTACAGTGAACTCATTGTCATGTTCAAAAAACCAATTTGAAATGATTCGAGCTTTGTGACATGGTGCATTATCCTGCTGGAAGTAGCCATCAGAGGATGGGTACATGGTGGCCATAAAGGGATGGACATAGTCAGAAACAATGCTCAGGTAGGCCGTGGCATTTAAACGATGCCCAATTGGCACTAAGGGGCCTAAAGTGTGCCAAGAAAACATCCCCCACACCATTACACCACCACCACCACCCTGCACAGTGGTAACAAGGCATGATGGATCCATGTTCTCATTCTGTTTACGCCAAATTCTGACTCTACCATCTGAATGTCTCAACAGAAATCGAGACTCATCAGACCAGGCAACATTTTTCCAGTCTTCAACTGTCCAATTTTGGTGAGCTCTTGCAAATTGTAGCCTCTTTTTCCTATTTGTAGTGGAGATGAGTGGTACCCGGTGGGGTCTTCTGCTGTTGTAGCCCATCGCCCAGATTGTGAAATACTCAGACCGTCTGGCACCAACAACCATGCCACGCTCAAAATGGCTTAAATCACCTTTCTTTCCCATTCTGACATTCAGTTTGGAGTTCAGGAGATTGTCTTGACCAGGACCACACCCCTAAATGCATTGAAGCAACTGCCATGTGATTGGTTGATTAGATAATTGCATTAATGAGAAATTGAAATGGTGTTCCTAATAATCTTTTAGGTGAGTGTAGTTTTGTATTATAATTATGTTTACCTCTCATTTGGATCAACAACAACACTTTTGGGCTGAGATAGGTCTCTCAAGACAGTGTTTTCATTCCTCCCATCTGTGTCCATTCTGTGTATCGTTCCTTTATCTGCATTGCTCCAGACGACTGAGTTTTCAATCCAGTTCACAGCGAGACCAGTGATTTTTTTCACTGATGAGAGAAGTTTCTGAAAGAATAAACCAAAGGCTTGGAACAGGCTCCAAACAAGCACTGATGACATTAAATATTAAAATACTGTATTTACAATATTTATTCTGTATATGTAAAAAAAAAAATCTAATAAATAAATAAAACTAACATTAATAGGTCTTCAGTAGTACCTGTCTGCCTGTTCCATCCAGTCCTGCCCTGTTTATTTGTCCTGCATGTGTGTCAGCCCAAAACATTGTCCCCTCACTTAAATGGAAGTCCAACAAGATAGACCTTCCCACCCTAGAAACGATCCTGCTCCGGTCCCCACCATCAAGGTTCATCCTCTGGATGCCATTTCCCAGGCCAAGTAACAGATAAGGCTCAGGATCTTTGAAGACACAAATACAAGCTCTGACAAATCTAATCAAAATGATACAAACATCATTTCTATGACATACATAAAACATACATCATTTGATCCTTATTTGAAGTTAACAACCATTTTAACAAGTTTCTGTACACATCTCATTTTCCTGTTCAAATCGAACTGATTTTAAACCCAATCTTAAATTAAACTGCATAGCCACAAATAATATATTTACAATATCAAATAAAACATGGTTTACAAAAGCGGAACATGCTTAGATCTTTGTTTTTCCTGGAACACCCTTTCCATCACCCAGCCAATCACAGCCCTCTGATTTTTGGGGAACATTTATTATTTTAAATCAATGTAAAGAGTTGTGAGAAAATAGGATGTGTCAGGTGAGGTCCACATACTATACATACGAGTTTCCTAGTTAAACCCAGATTCCCGAGAACTTGTCACTAAAGTAGTGCATATTTACATATATGAATATTTTGAAGCGTATTGTATGTATTATACATATTGCAAATAGCCTGTATTTGACCGAAATGCCAGAATCGTCAGCAAGCTGACTATAGATAGCATGGTGAATGTTTATGGTGTCAATGAATTGGACGCTAAATCATTTTGGCTTTAAAAGGATCATTTGTTTTATCAATATTCATCATATGAAGCGAGCGAGTCTCTTCAAAAAATTTGGACTAAACAACTCAATTCATATGGATTAGTTTTAAGATCTCTTTTATGAACATTTTGAATATGGAGGGACAGAAAGCTTAGATTTCATCAAAGAGATCTTGATTTGTGTTGTATAGATGAACAAAAGACTTACAGATTTGGAACGACATGAGGGTGAGTAATTAATGAAATATTTTTTAATTTTTGGATGAACTATACCTTTAATAAGATTTTCCCAATAGGCAAGAATTAACCTGGTCTTCTAATGATGGTTCCTGTTCTTTCAGACAACAATGCACTTGAATGCGACAAGCTCGTTCAGAAGTGGGAAGTAGGACATTTCCAATAACATTTGAAGGCAGCATTGATGATTTCCATTACACGAGAGTAGATGTTAAAACTTCATGCTGATTTGTACTCGGCTTTCGCCAAGATAAGCAAAACTAAGACGAAGCTTTACAGTAAACTATGCTTCTCCATCCATTTACGCTTCTTTCCTTAAGGTGGTGTGACTCCCCTTCTGTCCGGCGTTAACGGCTGCAGTGTACTTGGCACGTCAGCACACGCGACGGCTGCAACTACAGGACAACAGGACCAGACAACCGTCTGGATTGAGCCGAGTATGGGACATCTCTAGGGTCTTCAAGTGGGCACCTTCCGTCCTCAGTGTTTCGTCGACTAGCCCACGACACCTCAAGAGGGCTCGACAGTGACTCTGGCGTCCCAGAGTCACCCCCCCCCCCTCCGTCCCCCACTCAACTCAGCCCAGCTTACTGACCTCTACATCCCTCCTGCTGCTGAGACCTAACCACAATCTCACAATCTCTCCGCAACCCAACCATACGCGCCAACCTGTTTGACTAAGGCTGTCGAGCCCCACTGGTGCGTTAATATGCAGTTTCAGTGGCAACGGTTTCGTATGGCATACCACCTACCGCAAAACACAATATCTGCCCAACCACCCATCATTCACGCAATATCCACAGGAACGTATACAAATAAACCAACAGACTCTTCAAGTTTTCAAGAATTCTACGAAACCGTAGCGTGGCGGCCTGTACCCAGCCAGCCAGAATCTTTCCGTCTCAACCACCGCCAGTTGCTGCTCCTTTCTGCTGCTTCAGATAAGTTTTTTACTGTGCGACGCAACTCTTGGCCGCTGAATCCGACGTCTCTGAGGAACCGGGTTGTAGAGTGTGCCACAAAACCTCGACAACCCACTTCCACTGGATAAACCTGGACTCTCCATCCTCGCTGTTCTGCTTCAGTGGCCAGCTGAGCATACCGCAGTTTTTTCCTCTCATATGCCTCATCTACCGCATCCTCCCATGGCACTGTTAACTCTATCAGTTGAACATTAAAGTCATTAAGAGTAGGCAATTTCTGACAGCCTAGCAATAGCAAGCCAGCTTTGAAAGCATAAGATCCCATCCTCCCTTTAGAGCGTCTCCAAAGCCATGTCTCCTTCAAAACACATGAACGCAAACAGCAGCGCCTGCAAAGCGCCATGAGATAGTAGAGACGGTGTTAAATTACCTCGTCTCAAAGCACATAACTTTACAATAATAATGGACGTAAACAACTTACAGAGCTCTGGATGTACCACATGACTACTGCAGATTAATTTCGGAGTTGATAGTGTTGACATAGAAACGCATAAATCCGACAACTCCAGGTAGAACGTCACGGGTTGCCATCTCGTAATTACGGTTATATATATATATATATATATATATATATAATTGTTTTAAATGTTGCTTACATTTTTGTTTCTCTGCTGTAGTGATATTAGTAATTGTAACAGTCTGTAAGGACTTATATTTTAATGTTAGCCTACAATGTTCTGCAATAAAAAGGTAGAGTCATGAACATAGTTTAATTCTTTAAATAATATAAGCTAGTGTGTCTATGTAATATAGACACATTTCAGCAGAAATTTTATTCTTATCAAAGTACCACTCTGAAGGATTAAATATCTAATACTGTCTCACAAGTTCATAATCTGATTTAAAACTGTGGTCCATAAAAAAAATTATATTAAAAGATATTGAATAAGTAGGTGCAAGATATAAGCTCAGAGTTGTGATGAAGAAGACTATGTCGATTTTATTGTATGTTAGTGGCTGCATTCACTAAATGAAATTAAATAGCTTTAACATGAAACCTCCCTGAAACCTTATGGTGTTGTGACCCTAAAATGAAGCTTGATAAATGAGGCCTGTCGGCTAACAAATACATTATTTCTTGGTCATAAAATTGCTAATTATTTTCTCTTTATTCCCTACCCATATCAGCACCTATAATGTCATTCAGAATGTGAATTATTGTTGCTGTGTGACAGGTCTTTTCATGCTTTAATGGGGAGAGGTTCACACATCTATCTCACAGATGCCTGCAGAAATCAAGCAACTGTATCCTAGCAACACACACCATAGTGGAGGCCTTCGAAGTTGTTTGAGTGGATTACACAAACGCACAGCCATGTTGCTAGGATATGTAGAGACAAATAATAGAAAAAAGTTCAACATGGTTTTGGTTACAGTCAATAGCCACTAATTTACAACAACATTTAGATGAGTATATTAATTAAAGCAATTCAATTCTGATGTTCTAGCTAAGCACATTCAAGAAATAACTTACGATATCAAAACTTTAAAGGGAGTTTCCCTTTCGAGAGGTTCCTCCTATTGCGTAATAGCTTACGCTATGGGAAAACTCCTTTTCTCGAGAAATATTGAAGTCTTTATGTAAAACGCATTGCAGCTGCACAGCATACAGCAATGAGCGAGGCAGCTCAGTCATTGGCTGTGCTGCGGCAACTGCACGAACCTATGACGGGGCGACTCTGAACCCGCTTCCAATGAGCGTGCTTCGCGCCCACGCGCGTCAGAGCCCGCAAAGATGGGCGTGGCCAAGGGCTATATATTGGGCGCCCCGTCGTCTGAGTTCTTCAGATTTAATCTCCTTCAGCAAAGAACCTTCTCTTCGCTGGATCCTCCGGATTTGTTGGAGTCTTTTCGCCGCCGCCGTCGACAAGCCTACAGCAGGACTGCTTCGAGGACGCAGGCGCCTTCAGCTGCCTTCGATCACCTTTTCTGCTAAGCCATCCGGCGCGCATCATCCTATATCCTTTTCAAAGCTATCAGTGTTCGCCCCCGCGACACTTTTTCTAAAAGAGCAAATTATCAAGGCGTTGTTTCAAATGCCTTCCTACGCCTCGTGTCAAGGCCCTCTTCAGGACGGGGATCGTCACATCATTTGTGCCCGCTGCCTGGGACCGGACCACGCAGAGGCTGCCCTTACTCGAGGCGGATGTCCCGAGTGTGACGCCCTGGGCCTCACCGAGCTGCGCGCTCGCTTCGCCGTTTTCACCGCGAAAGAGCCCACCTCTTCCGTGCTGCCATCTCCTCTGGTCGAGCCGCGAAAGAAAAAGCGCCGCTCACAGAGGCCGCCGGAGCACGCGGTTTGCAGTGATGTCACGCCGGGCCAATCCCCGCGTGCTTCACCACCACCCGAAGACTCCCCGCCGCCAGTCCAGTTCACACAGGCGGACCAGCACCCCTCCAGCGGAGCGATGGGGCTCGTCTCGTTTGGCGCGTCAGGGGATGACGATGACAAGGATGACAGTTTTTCCTGTGATGCTGCATCCGACGACTGGCCGGGTTCGTCGTTCGACCCCGCGCCATCGACATTAGCGGGCACGAGCGCGGGCTCCAGCATGGACTCGGAAATCGTCCGCATCCTATCTAAGGCCGTGGAAGACCTCGGGCTCGATTGGTCTTCCCCGGAAGAACCCGCCCGCAGCCGACTGGACGAGTGGTTCCTGCAGGGGCGCCGACAGGCCCCTCGACAAAGACCCTCCCCCTTCTTCCCGGAAGTTCACGACGAACTCACGAAGTCGTGGAAAGCCCCGCACTCCGCTCGCCTGAAGCCTTCTTTTTCTTTGTCGCTCTCCTCTGTGGACGGCGCGAAAGAAAGAGGCTATGAGGGGACTCCGCCCCTCGAGGAGGCTGTGGCCAATCATCTGTGTCCACCCTCCAACGCTGGATGAAAAGCTAAAGCTTCTCATCCCTCGAAGCCTTGCCGGTCTACTTCAGCTCTCGCCGGTCGCGCATACGCCGCCGCCGGCCAAGCTGCATCAGCGCTTCACTCTATGGCTGTCCTCCAGGTGTTTCAAGCTAAACTTCTCCGCAGTATGGACGAGTCTGGACCCGATCCTGAGGCATTTAAGGATCTGCACAGCGCCACTGACATAGCGCTGCGAGCTACAAAAGCCACCGCCCAATCCATCGGCCGTGCTATGGCTAACCTGACTGTCCTTGAGCGCCATCTGTGGCTGACGC